AAAGCCAACCACAAACTGAAAGTCGGTCAAGCGGTCAAGCCACAAAAGAGCGCTTTGGTCCTTAGCCATATCTGTAACCGTTTTTTTTTTTTACTTTTTTATAGGGACAGCTAAGAGCTGCTGAGTAATTGGCAAGTGAGCAGTTAACAGGGACACCCAGAGGTATACAAAAAGATGGAGAGAGGGAGAACAAAGGGAAACAAAAGCATAGCCAAAATAAGTAACTAAATGAACATACAGCACAATGTGAGGTTTGGGATCGATGCCAGCAGCACATACCAAAAGCCAATTTGCTTTTGCTGGCTTGGCAACAATATGTTTGGTTAAAAAAAAACCGTATTAAGCTGGGCGCAGTTTAGCGCTGGTCAGCTATGAATCAAATTCTATTCATTTCGAACTAAAAAAGCCTTTCACTACTTAAGAGTGAAATAGCCCCGGGCAGCTAGAAACTGAGCAAAAGATAACAAGCTATCGATTCTGTCTCAATGAAACTAGGCACAAACATCAGCAGCTGCAGAATAAACCCATTTGAGCCGGATAATGAAATGAGCTTCGTGCTGAACTGTGAACTATGGAGCTTAGTCGCTCATGAACAATGTTGATAATCGCTCAAATGGCACTCAGTTCATTCCAACAGTTTCACATTTTCAGTTCATAAAATTGAATAAACATGGAACTAGTAAGAATATTAAAATCTTTCAAATGGAGAATCAGTTGTAGCAAATTGTGCTCGATATTTCGCTTAAGTTCTATAGCTAAAGCAAGATAATATTAGACAATTTATATATGTTTTATCATTAGGCATACCGATTGAATCTTAGAGCATTTGGAACTAGTAGTTCCCTAATTCATTTGATTAATTTCTAATAATTCTTCCACGATCAAATATAGAATTCTACTTACCGAAGAAGCAGCAACAGAAGACAATCGTGTAGAGGGTTATGAATATGATGCGCACATCGGTGCGATCGAATATATATTCGCTGGTGTTCTCAGCGTCCTCCACTTCCTCTTTAGCCGCCTCAGTTAGTTCGCTCAATTCAAGAGATGTGGTTGCTGCTGCTCCTGCTCCTGCTGCTACTCCTGCTGCTGTTGGTGTTGCGGCCGTCGCTAATATGGCTGTTGTCTCATTCATAGATAATGCGATTTCCGTGACGGTCACATTGAGTGCCAGGCTCGAGTCATTTCCAGTCGTTGACAATGAACAATCAACTAGGAGCATCAGCAGCAACAGCAGCGGCCATGGCAATGAGCGTCGATGGAGGCGGCCTGTTAGCTGTTGCTGTTGTTGTTGCTGTTGTTGTCCCTGCTGGCAATCTAGTAAGCCGGAAATGTTATAATTTGTAGTTGGAGCAGGGCTATTGCCGGCTTCATTATCATCATTATCATCATAAGCCGCTGATATGTTTGTGCCCACAGTGTTGCACAGTTGTTTATGCGCTCGTCCCTGTCCCACGTCCGTTTCCGTTGCTGGCCGGCGACGACGACGTTGACGCTGCCGCTGTCGCTGCCAGAAGGACGCCGCCGACGTCCACTGTCGACTGCTGGCGCTCATAATGCTAATAATGCGTTGCAGCTGCAGCTAAAAAGATAACGAGAGGGGGAGTGAGACAAAGGCTTAGAGAGAATGAGTGTGAGAGAGATATTGCAAATGAGTTTGAGCTGCAGATAGTTAGGAGGATGCACAGTTAACTTTAATCAGCTTTTGCTGCTGCTGCTGTTGTTGTTGTTGTTGTTGTTGTCGTCAAAACGCAACGACCCAAAACCACCGCAGCACTTATTGTTGATTAAAATTTACAGAAGCAAGCTGCAAAATTAACATTTTACTCTAAATTTTCACATCACCCAGCGGAAATTGTAGCTGATGAAAATTACGCATACGCCAGGCTCAACAGCGCATTCTTATGAGCAGAGCAAATTGCTGCTGAAGGTCCTCTCATATATGTACATGTTGCGTATAATAATCTAATTAGCCAGTGATTTCATAGAAATGCACGACGTGCTAATACGCCGAGCTGTGCCTTCTAGCTAGTATATGGGCAGGTTAATTAACTCAAATAATTAAAATAATATTTTTTGAAATATCTAAAACAAATAATAATCATAAATATTTAGTGCGAAAGCTAAAATATATTCTTGAAATAAATTATTAAAATGCATGAATTAAAGTTCCATCTCTTGCAGATCTATATACGCTCTATGCAATTAAATACAGGGTATACACAGCATTCAAAATTCACAGCGTACACTAATTACACAGGCCAACAAGTCGTAATGAAATTTGGTAACCAGGATTAGATTA